CCGATGAGAGACGTGTGCGGCGCTGTAGAACATGTGTTCTCGCAAACGTGACAACTTGTGACCCACACCGGGGCGTGGATCCCGCCTCTTTTCGATTTTGTGACGTCAGACGTGTGCGCGGTCCGGCGGTCGGGTCGTGCTCCGCGCCACGCGTCCTCACTATGACAAAACCCTCCGCGCGGCGAGACGCCAAGCCGAGGTGCTGGCCACCGGAGGGATGGGAGGACGGCACGCCGCCACCACACAGGGATTTTAAGGAGAGGGGCAGCAGACCCGAAGAAAAAACTTCTTAGCGGGTGGGGAGTGGGTGGGCGCCGGAGTGGGAGTGGTCTGACTGCTCCTGTGGTGCGGGCGACGGCTTCTGAGGAAGCTGTCGCCCGCGCCTCGCCTGTCGCGTGAACCGTGTCGTGCGACCCCGACCGCCTTTTGGAGCACTTGGAGTGCAGTCATTAACCGCACATCCAGGGCCAGGGAGCTAAGAAGCGCACCCAGCGGGCCGGATGATTGGCATCGGGTTGCGGGCAAGAGAGCCCTTTGTTGTAAAATTCTTTACAGCAGGCGCAGCGGCGGTACACCTCCGGCGTACACCATCGCAATTGGCTCGCCCTCGCCGAAGCCTTCGTCAGCGAGGCATCTCGGCGGGGCGGCCGCTACAAGACTGGCAGGTGCAAGAACCACAAGTGCTGGCGCGAGGCGATTCGTTTCGTCGCAGTCAGCCAGGAGGGGGCTGGCGCCTTCCTGAATGCGATCCCCATGCGGGATGATATGAAGATGGAGACGTGGGCGATGCGCATTACAGTTCAGCGCCGCCTCGGCCTCCCGCTCGATGTTGCCTGCCAGGCGGTGGAGGCAGGCAAGAAGGCGCCAAACGGCAAGCCGCACGAAGAACTCGGCGATGCCGCAATGGTCAACCCGCGTGCGAAGCACGCGACAAGACACAAATTCCTGCTCAAACTCGTCAAGACCCTTCGCTCGGCGTGGGGCATGCTCATCGAGATGGAGCCGACTGCACACCTCAGTTACAGTAACCCAAAACAACCTGACGTGGCGGCGGCGAACATCGGCGACGGGCATGCGCGCCTCGTTGGCGACTTGAAACTTACGAGCTCGCTTGCGTGCAAGGGTGGCGACCGGCTCGGCTGGAAGGGGGCTTTTTTGTCGCCTTCGGCAACACCGAGCGGGCGCTGCTCGACTTAGTGTTAGGGCATGCTGCATGGCCGCGACCGGAGGGGGGGGGGGGGGGGGAGGGGGGGGGGGAGGCGGAGGATGCAGAGGCGGAGGCGGCGGCGGCGGAAGAGGAGGAGGGGGAGAGTGAGGGGGAGGCGGAGGCGGGGGCACCTGTGACGGCCCCCTACGAGAAGGGCGACTACCGGTTCGCGCGGGAGAAGAATTGCGACCTGCGTTTGCTCGACTTCGAGACGTTCGGCGGCTTCGGGAACGGCGTCCGCAAAATTCTTCGGCAGGCGGCGGACCAGCTGAGTAACAAACTTTCGCACGCTCAGCACCTCGATGAGGTCACATGGACCACCAAGAACTGGCACGGGCTGCAGATGCAGCGCTTGTCTGTCGTTCTCCACACCGCCGTGGCGTGGCAGACGGTGAACGAGCTAGCGTGCGGGGACAGCGGCATTGTGCACGGTGCTAAGTGCATTGCCGCTCTTAACGGAGTCGCTCCGGTGGTGTGCCGGTGATAGTACTAGCACGCGCCAGTTCGCACCTGTGTCGAAAGAAAGAAAGAAAACAGACAACCCAAGGGAGGGATGTGTCGAGCCTGTCTGCTGTGAGCGAGTTTAAATTCTTTAATTTTGTAGTGCCAGTCCGAGCCAGTCTGCTGTGAGAGGGGCTTGTATGCTAAAGTTTAAATTCTTTTGTTCGCGATGTCTGCCCCGCGGCGCCGCTCGCGCCGCCTCGCCGCCGCCGCCACCGCCGATCCCTCGCCGAACACGCCGCCGCCCACCCACCTCCTCGACCTCCCCACGGACCTCCTCGTGCGCGTCGTCTCTCGCTGCGACCCCGCCGACATCGCTCGCGTCGCGGCCGTCTCGCTGCTCTTCCACGCCTCGCTTGCGGTGGAGGGCATCCGCCTGTGGGCGCAAGAGCGCGGCTTCGAGCTGCCGGCGCAGCCCGAGAGCGAGGGCTGCCCCGTGCGGTGGCTGTGCTGTTCGGCGCTGCTGCGCGAGTCCAACCCGCCGGCGAGGGCGGCCGCAGGCGTTCGGCACAGCCTCTTCATCGTCGGCGAGGGGCGGCTCTCGTCGTGCGGCTATGCGCCGGATCAACCCCTCCTCGGCCACGGCGAGGGCGTGACGCGGCTGAACACGCCGACCCGCCTCCCTTCCTCGCTGGGAGGCGAGCGCGCCGTGAGTGTGTCGGCGGGAGAGAACCACAGCCTGGCCCTCGCCATAGACGGCTCCGTCTGGAGCTGGGGCGATGGCTCCTCTGGCAAGCTGGGCCACGGCGACCGGCAGGACCAGCTGCTGCCCAAGAAGGTCGAGGCCTTTGCTGGCCTGCGCATCGTCGCTGTGTCGGCTGCAGCCGGGTACAGTCTCGCCATCACCGCCGACGGCGCCCTCTGGAGCTGGGGCAATGGTACCTTCGGCCGGTTGGGCCACGGCGACGAGCAGAACCAGCCGCTGCCGAAGAAGGTCGAGGCCTTGGCTGGCCAGCGCGTCGTCGCCATGTCAGCTACACTCTTCCACAACCTCGCGATCACCGCCGACGGCGCTGTCTGGAGCTGGGGCTATGGAGAATACGGCAAGCTGGGCCACGGCGACTGGCAGATTCGGCTGCTGCCCAAGAAGGTCGAGGCCTTGGCGGGCCGGCGCGTCATCGCTGTGGCGGCAGGAGCAGACGGCAACCACAGCCTCGCCCTCACCGCCGACGGCGCTGTCTGGAGCTGGGGCTATGGAGGCGGCGGCAAGCTGGGCCACGGCGACACGCAGGACCAGCTGCTGCCGAAGAAGGTCGAGGCCTTAGCTGACCAGCGCGTCGTGGCTGTCGCGGCTGGAGGCTTCCATAGCCTCGCCCTCACCGCCAACGGAGAGATTTGGAGCTGGGGCATTGGAGGCCACGGCCAGCTGGGCCACGGCGACCAGCAGACCCAGCTGCTGCCGAAGAAGGTCGAAGCCTTTGCTGGCCAGCGCGTCGTCGCTGTGTCGGCGGGAGCCCGCCACAGCCTCGCCCTCACCGCTGACGGCGCCGTCTGGAGCTGGGGCGAGGGCGAGAACGGCTGCCTAGGAAATGGAGAGGACTTGTCGAACCAGCTGCTGCCCAAGAAGATCGAGGCGTGGGCGCCGGGGCGGTGAGACATCGATCGAGGCCGTGATTTGCGTGTATTGAGCGGAAGTGGGAGCGCGGGACGAGGAACGGTGGCGGCGCATCGGCCCATGCAGCACGGCCGTGGTTGTCGCGTATCACTTGGACCGAGAGGCAGATGTAGCATTCACCCATACTTAGACTTACGCAGAGAGCTCCAGCTCGTCGGGCCGGACTCGTGTGAGTCTCGTGTGTAGGCGTGTACGAACTGGGTGGTATACGGTAAGGTACGGGAAAAAGTAATATATCTTTACTTCCAAAACCCGGACGTGCCTCCACCGGCACGCCGCTTCCGACAGGGTGATGGAAGGTTCGACGCACCCCCGGACTGGGCAGAGAGATCCCAGTGCATCTGCGCTGGGCTGTCCACCCCGCCCCCACTTGCCCTGACTGCACAGGATAGCGTGCCCCGACAAACGGCGACACATAGCGGGGGACACTGCGCCGGGGGGTATGCCTAACTTTGGTGCTTTGTGTGGGTCGCGTTCCCTTGGTAGCTGTGTGGCTGAAGCCCTCGTGCCGCTGGCTTGCCCCTTCCAGCGGCTGGCCCCTCGAGACTGTCGGTGCTTGGCGGGAGGAGGGGGAGAGGGAGGCCCGGTGGGAGGAGAGGGAGAGGGAGGCCCGGTGGGAGGGGAGGGAGAGGGAGGCCGTCTTGGGCTCTTCTCCTCCCCCCTCCCTGGGCTCTTCTCCTCTCCCCACCCTGGGCTCTTCTCCCCTCCTCCCTGGTACTCTCGGCCTGATTACCGGAGCGACTGCCGGAGCAGACGCTGGGGGGACACTCGCGCCCGGAGGCGGTACGCACGACCCGGAGGCGTGGGGGTGGGGGGGGGGCCGCGCCGCCGCCGCCGTGCCGCCTTCTCCCGCTTTGACCTCCCCCAGCTGCTTCTCCTCAAATCAACCTGTGAGCTTGCGAGGCGGCGGGGGTGGGAGTGCTCTCGGGCGGCGTGTGCGAGCGCGTGCGGCGCGAGATCTCTTTCGCGAGGGCACGGTGGGTCGGGTGAGTATCTCGCGCGCTCGCACTATTTCACACTATATCAAGCACTGCCTTTGATGCCTTTGCAAGAACCGCCAGCGGCGGTGGTCGAACCGGTTCGCGGTTCGAGCCGGGACCTTTTGGCTCCCGGTTCGGAACTCGCTTGGAGGGTTGCTTCGCTCTCGCGGAGCGAGCGCGGGCGCGTGGGTGCGTGTGCGCGTGCGCTGCGGCAAGGCGAGGCGAGGCGAGGCGCGGCGCGGCGCGGCGAGGCGGGCGGCGGCGGCGCGCGGTCGTTCTTTTTGCCCGGGTGAGGCGTGGCTTGCGCGCCGCGCGGTGATGACGCAGCACGCTGAAAAGTCCTTGGTGAGCCACCGCGGTGGCAGCGAGCCAAAGCAAGCCACCTGCCGCATGACGGGTTGACCGACGGCGTCTCTTTCGTAAGGTACGGGAAAGATAAACTCTCTCTTCTCCACACACAGACACACACGTGGTGCGTGGGGGGCACGCCCAAGGGCCGGGCGCGCGCGGGCAATCTCCCGACTCCCCGTCGGCTGGGCTGGAGGGCTGCCAGGAGCTGTGGACATTTCCTTTTTTTAGGATAAACCCCTCCGGCCTGGACCCTTACACCAAACACCAGCAGTCTGCATATCTGTGAGGCAAATCTGACGAATTAAGATCCGTATAAGAAGATCCAGCTGAGGCCAGCCCAGCGCACATGACACTCTACCTAAGGTTTGTACTATGAGAGAGCCTGCTGCTGCCTGGCGTTGCCCCCGCACACGACTTCGGCGAGTGACTGTGCAACTCCTCCAGCGACACGCGACCGTCGCGATTGCGGTCAAGGGTTTGAATCATGAGTCGCGCCAGCCCCTTGCTCGCTCTGTCCCCTAACGCTACCAGGAGCTCCTCGAGCTCCAAAAAGCCATTGGCATCGGTGTCGATATGCGCGACTGCACGCCGAAGCCCCCTCTCCACTTCTTGGCGCGAGAGGTGGCCATCGCCATCGTCGTCCCAGATGCCTGTGCAGAGGCGGCGGAGAGTGTCGGGCGGGGCGAGAGGATATGTTGGACGGTGTCGAGGGGGTACCTAGGTACAGTGGGTTGCGGGCATTAAGAAAACAGGATTTCGCGGCACGCCGCCGTTTCTAAGCCTTTCCACAGCCCTCATCCACCCCGCGCCGTGGTTTCTTAGCTCCGGCCGGCACTCAAGCCAGCAGAGCCGGCGGGCCCGAAGGATTTTTAGGTAAGTAAGAGGTAAGCTGTAAAGATCCCGATCATCCGGCCCGCTGGGTGCGCTTCTGAGCTCCCCGGCCCTGGATGTGAGGTTGATAACTGCACTCCAAGTGCTCCAAGTGCTGTAAGCTGCCGGTCCGCGAGGGCGATGCCAGAGTCTGCCGCTGAGTCGGCTCTCTGGATGACGGGGGAAGACGCACACACGCCTCCATCCACTCCACTCAGAACACCGCAGACTTGGAAAGTGACAAGTGCGCGCGCCGCAGGCGAAGAGAAATTTTTGACCTGGCTCCCGTTCACACACAGTGAATCACACACTCGTTTCTGGCCTTTCTTTTCTCGGGGCCGCGTCTGCGGCGCGCCGTGGTTTCTTAGATTTTTGCGGAAATCGCTCGGCGTGGTTTCTTGATACTCAGTTTTCTTAATGCCCGCAACCCACTGTACCTAGGTAGAGACAGAGCGCGGGCACCGTCATTGAGGCTGCAGAGCAAGAGGCAGCAGAGCCAGCCAGGCGCGCCGCACGGAGTCGCTCCGGTGGCAAACCGATTTGCACACACACACACACAATGTGGCTGCACGCATGGCACGAGCGCCGTCTCGATGAGGTGGTGAACCGCTCCTCCTTTTCGTGCAAGGGCCGTGAGATGAGCGGGCTGAGCCGCGCGCACTCGCTGCTCGCTCACCGCGGCCTGATCAGCCCGACGCTGCGTGCCGCGTCGACCGTCTACTACTGGCGCCACACCGCCGCGCAGGAGCGCTCGCGCCACGAGGCGGTCTGCAGCAAGGCCTCTGGCTGGCACCTCGCCTCGTTTGGCTCGCACGGGTCGTTTGCGGACCGCGCGAGCTGGATCTGCCGGCGCGCGAGGCACGAGATTGGCGGGCGTTCGCGGTCGGCGGCTCCGCGTGTGCTCGACTCCTGCACGACGTCCAACCTCACGTCGCTCCCGCGGCGGTGGAGGGTCCGACACAACGTGTCGCGGGCCGTGCGCGGCGCGGGCTACTGGAAGTGGAAGCCGTTCTACCTGCTGAAGCGGCTCGCCAAGCTCGCAGGCTCGGCTCCATCTCCTCAACCCGCCTATGAATTAACAAGCTATCTGTTTGATGAATGAATGGCAGACGGCGACGTACTGGTCCACCTGGACTACGACCTCACCATCACCGACGACGCGTCGGCGCTCTTCTGCCTCGGCCAGAACGCGGAGCGCGGCGTCGCGCTCATCCACTTCCCATGCTGGACCGACCGGCAGTGGTCCAAGGCGGAGCTCGTGCGGGCGCTCAACGCGACCGACGCGATGCTCGACACGGCGCAGGTGTACGGAGGGGTCGTCGTGCTGCGCAAGACGCCGTTTGCGGTGCAGTTCCTGCGCGAGTGGCTGCAGGTCGGGTAATCTCGGGCAATCTCGGGTACTCTCGGCGTGATCTCGGCGTGATCTCGGGTAATCTCGCGGTGCAGGTCGCCACCGACCCGGACCGTGACCTGAGCGAGGACGTGCCTTGCAGGAGACACGACCCTCCCGGCTGCGAGCAGCGCGCAAGGCACCCGCCGGGTTGCGAGTGCGCCGAGTGGGCGACGCCGCAGGACCCGGCCTTCCGCGAGCATCGGCACGACCAGTTCCCTACCTACCTCGTACCCGAACCCAGTAGGACCCGGCTTTCCGCGAGCATCGGCACGACCAATCGATCGTCTCGCTCCTCGCCAAGCGGCACGAGATTACCCGAGATTCCCCGAGATTCCCCGAGATTACCCGAGATTACGTCTCGCTCCTCGCCAAGCGGCACGGCCCTCAAGACCGCCCCGATGCCGACGACCGGGAAGGCTCCAAGAAGGCTCCGAGAGCTTCGGCCTTAGGCACGGCCTCAAGACCTTCCCGATGCCCACCGCCTCGCACGACCCGCGCTCGCTCTGGTCGTGGGACGCGGGATACTGCGAGGCGGCGTGGCCGCTCGAGACGTCGCGCGGAGGGGAGAGGTACTTGCCGCGGGTCTACTCGCCCAAGGGAAAGATGACGTCGCCGGGCGTCGTCCTCCACTGCGCCCAGGCGTGGCTCCCCCGGTGTCCTGTTTTGCGACCCGCGTCTTCTTTTCTAGGCGTCGTCCTCCACTACGCCCAGATGGGGACGCTGCCCGCCTCGATCCACGCCTGCGCGGCGACCGGCCACCCGCCCACGCACATGGACTACCTCGACGGCCGGGCGGTGATTGCGCGGCTGGAGGCGGCCGCCGCGATGCTCAGGCCGCTGCGCGGCGTGCCCAGCCACCGCGCCGCGCCCGCGTCCAGCCGCGGCTTGTGCCGCGTGAGCCTGGTGACGCAGGAGTCGCAGACGGCAAAGTGCGAGGAGGGCGTCTCGTTCGGCTGCATGGACTCGATCCGACGAGGGCCGAGAGGCGCGCACCTCGGAGACGTGGTCTGGATCTTTGGCGGATGCCGCGGCCGCTTCCGGTGCGACAACAGCGGCATCGAGCTGCGGTGCGGCATGCCCGGGTGGCCGTCCAGACAGATGTACCGGTGCCCGTGCGTGACGCCGACCGACGAGGTGCCGCTGGGGGTGCCTCTCGCTCTGCAAAAGAGCTAAATAGACAACGACAGGGCGCCTCTCGTCGCACCACAGTCGCCGGCTTCGTTTATTTTTCGTGCGCGAAAGAGTTCTGAAAAGCAAGTGTTTCCATGTCGGGTTCTACAAATATCGCGCGCGTATCGGCTGGGTTTTTACGTGGACGAAAAAACAGCCAAGCGGCGCTGTCCACGTTCCTAGCTAGGGGGGGGGGGGGGCGGGGGGCACTCGGGCGGAGGATGTATTTCGCTCGGTCGGTAATACCTTCTGTGGATGTTGTTGGCAAAACACAAAACAAAAGTTGTTTGGTATTGCTAAAATCTCTCTCTCTCAAAACACCGGACTCTTCAGTCAGCCAAAAGACAGACAGACAGAGGAAGGTGTGTGAGACAAAGGCGTCCCGATGTGAATGTATGTGTGCGTGTCATCTATCTTCTCTCGGAGAGAGGAGCCACCCTCCCTTGCTCCTGATCTCCTGTGAAAGGGTCTGTCCCGCGCACATTGTCACGGAAGGTGAAGCGCGCACATTGCAGGGATTTAGGTCTCCTTCCTGCCAAACCGAGTTGTTGATTGTGTCCTGAGAAGATGGGTGCCGCCTGCTCCTCGAACGTGATTGACGACACGAGCCGCTCCATCCCGACACGCGCCGGCCCCCTCGTCAGCGAGGTCGGATTGAAGCCCGGTTGTGAAGGCGGCGGAGCAAAGCTCGGCTACAATGTTGTTCAACGCGACGGCGACAACCGCTTCCTCTCTTACTCAAAGGGCTTCAACGCCAGGAGAGAGCGTCTGGAAGCCCGCCGCAACATTCTCACCGCCACCATCCTTGCCCCGTCATCACCACCACCGCCAGGAGAGAGCGCGTCTGCAAGCCCGCCGCAACATTCTCACCGCCACCATCTTACCCCGTCATCACCAACCCACCACCCTCCCTGCCTCGACGCTGCCAGGTGGGTGGGCTGCAACCTCGAGGCTACATGACTGAAGACGCGTCTACATCATCTACTCCCCAGAGGGAGCGTGTGCCGCGTACGAACAAGCCACGGCGTTGTACGGTCCCGGCGCCGTCCGCGTCCAGTCCGGCGCGCACTGCTACGAGAACTTTGTCTTTGACGAGAACACACGGGCGGTCCTGCAAATGAGCCAGCTGCTCGACTTTGGGATCTGCCCCGACCGAGGCTACTACCTCTCCTCGGGCGACACCAACTGGGGTGCCTTCAAGAAGCTCTTTGCGCACGGCAAGGTGCTCCCCTCCGGCTCCTGCTACTCGGTCGGCCTCGGCGGCCACATCTGCGGCGGAGGGGACGGCATCCTCTCGCGGTTGTACGGCATCACGGTGGACTGGCTGACGGGCGTCGAGGTCGTCGTCAAGGACGACCCGACCCGCCCGGCACGGCTGATCTACGTGTCGAAGGACAGCACGGACTGCGACGAGCGCGACCTGTGGTGGGCCCACACCGGCGGCGGCGGCGGCAACTTTGGCGTGATAACTCGCTACTTCTTCAAGGAGCTGCCCGACGCGCCCAAGGGTGTCGTGACGAGCAACGTCGCATTTGACTGGAGTAAGCTCACAGAGGACAAGCTCTACGCAGTCCTCAAGTGGTATTACGACTTTGCCGCTCGGGAGGACAACCGCTGCTCCTCTGCCAAGTTCCAGATCATGCACGAGGCCGTCGGCGAGTTCCAGATGTACCTCCAGACCGCCTACTTTTGCGACGAGGGCCGCGACAATGCGAGAGTTTACCACGGCGAGATCGAAGACGAGCTGCAGCACATCTGCGGTGACATGATCATGGCGAACGGAGGCAAGCAGGCCCTCGCAGGGCACGGCTCGTGGTTCTGCCCGCCCAAGCCGCGCCCGCCGTGCGACGCCGACGGCGCGCGCAAGGGCGGGCGCGACTTCGACTTTTACGCGTCGACGCAGACGATAAACTCGTCGGGCCCCAACCAAAGGGGCAAGTACAAAAGCGCCTACCACAAGCAGCCCTTCGACCGGCAGATGGTGCACGACATGTTTGCGGCGCTCACCACCACGGCGCCCGGCCTGAGCCGGGACGACATGAAGCAGAGTCTCATCCAGGTGGACTGCTTTGGAGGCCGCATAAACGACGTGGAGCCGGAGGCGACGGTCATCGCTCAGCGCAGCTACAAAGTCAAGCTCCAGTTCCAGACCTACTGGGACGACGAGGCCGAGGACGAACCGCACCTGGCGTGGATCAGGAGCGCGTACGAGTCCTGCTACGCACGGTGGGGGGGCGTACCGGACCCGACCCGTGGGCCGCCCATGGACACGAGCGCGCCGCCGGACGAGTCGCCGTTCGAGGGGTGCTACTACAACTACCCCGACGTGGACCTGAACGGGTGGAAGAATGGCAAGTACGGCGCGCTCACGCTCTACTTTCTGGACAATTTCCAGGCGAACGCCCGCAACCTCGTCGACATCAAGCGCCGCTGGGATCCGGCCGGCTACTTCTGGCACACACAAAGCATCCCCTCCTACAAGTCGGCGCTGCCAAAGTAGATCTGATGAGATCCTCGCTCCCGCCGTGGCTAGTGGAAGCCGAGAGAGGAGGTCACAGGACGAGTGTTTACTAGTCGAAAGGAAAGGCCCGAGACTCTTTTGAAGCCGCGGAATGTGTTTTGCACCTTGCAATGTTCGAGAGCGCACGAGCGGTCTCGGGCACCGCAGCCGTGCTGCCACAAAGCACAATGTGCTGCCACAAAGCACCTAGCGATTTTGCGCGGCAGAGGGCGCGCGTGAAGCACTGGGGCGGCTCACTGTGTGTTATTTGGGTGGGGGGATCCCAACGAGCTGCAGAAACGAGCTTTCAGTCAGTGGCTACAAGGCCGAGCGTTTTTGATCTCTGGATCTGTGGGCGCCCGCCCGCCGCCTCTGAGGGGGTCGGGCCCCCTAGACTGAAAACAAAAACAAGCGCGAAAACAGCCAAAATCAGCCTTCGAAATCTCGACGAAATCAGCCTGCGAGAGAGGCACTGCGCGCCGCTGACCTCAATGTGGGGATGTGTGCCGACACCAATACTGATCTAAAACCTGGAAACCCTTGTTCAAAGCCGACCCTAAGCGCCATCCTTCCTGCTCTCACCTGATGCTGCTTCCCCGCGCCGCCTCCTTGGGCCCCCTTGGGCGTATTTTCTACTCCCAGTGGGGTCCCGGGCCCCCTGGCCCCCTCTTATTTTCTGTTTTCTGTTTTTCAAAACGCCCGCCCGCCCGCCACCCCGAAGCGGCTCGGCCCCCCACAGATCCAGAGATCAAAAACGCTCGGCCCAAGCGTAGGCGTTGGATTATCATGCGCGCGGAGCGCGCTGGTGCTACGAACCCGGACACACGCGCGGAGCGCGCTAGCTAGACACCCGCGCGTCGCGGAGCGGGAGACAGGCGGGAGCACTTGGAGCACTTTGAGAATGGACGAAAAAAAATCCATACGTGCTTGTGCTCCTCCTTTGCTGTCCCATCTCTTCATCTCTTTCCCGCCTGGGCGGGGCAGTGGGCGGGCGCGCGGTGCGGCGTGGCGTGTGCGTGTGTGCGACTGCAACAAAGGACCGCTCGCAAGGGACCATTGGGTTTGTACTAGTAGGTAGGTAGAAAGGTGAAGAACAGCCAGGCTCGGACTGGACACCAACGCGGTATGGGTGGACGCTGGACAGATGATGACGACACGCACGAGCGACACACAGACACAAACAAGCTCACAAGACACACAGCCAGCGGGCTGCCACACACCCTGAGTCGGCTGTACTATTAACAACGAAGGCGCTCTCAAAAAAAATGCGACTGCAACAAAGGACCGCTTGCAAGGGACCATTGGGCTTGTACTATGTATGTATGTATGTAGTAAGGTGAAGAACAGTCAGGCTCGGACTGGACACCAACGCGGTATGGGTGGACGCAAGACAGATGATGACGACACGCACGAGCGACACACAGACACAAACAAGCTCACAAGACACACAGCCAGCGGGCTGCCACACATCCTGAGTGGGCGTACTACCCCTCCTGTATCGGGGTTATGGGGGGTTTACGAGGTGTGAACGTGAACAGAGTAGCCAGACGCTGTCGATCGTTACGGCCCGCATGGGGGGCCTCCCGGACGTATGATCCTAGCCCAATAAGTTCCACGGAGCAGATTTGGATTTTTCACAGAATTAATGCACTGCTCCCGCACGGTACTAATAGTCGTAGTTTTGGGGGCGGCGCCCCTCACGGCACCACACCGCCGCAGGACAGCCCGAGATTAGCCTAGCAGTGAGTGGGAATCGCCTGCCGGTCGGCTTGGCACGAGCCAAGCACTTGGGCGGCCGTCATCCGAGTCCGAGCGGCGCCTGAGGTGGGTGCCACGGCGTCCGCACGAAGGCGTGGCGGGGTGAGGAGCCAGGGGTGGTGAACGCCTCCCCGTCGGGCGCGCGGCGCGCCGGATGGTCCGCCGAGGCCGCCGCCGCCCCGGCGGCGGCGATGGGGGCGGCGGGGCCGACCCGGCCGGCGTTTGTCGGCTCCACCTACAGAAGAGCAGTCTCTGTGGGTCGACGATACTAACTCGGTAGTAACGCTGAGCGGTGCTGTGCGACGCCGCGTCGTGCGCGAGGCGACCTCCTGAGGCTACCTGAGCTGGCTATGGATGCCACCAGGACGCACGGCTAGCAGGAGCCAGTCCGGCATGCCCTGCTGTGGAGCAGAGCCTGCTGGCGCACCGGCGATACTAACTCAGCGCGCCGCGAGAGGCGAATCTGGGCGACTTTGGAGGCGCAGTTCTCGAGGTTGCCGTCGACGATTGATGTCGGGTAACTTGTCACTGCCGTCCGGGAAGGTCTTGACTCAGCAGGCCGAGCGCCGTGGCATCGCGCTGCTCGCAACGCTGTCGCGGCGCCGTGAACCCCCAAAACTCGCGAGACCTCGATACTAACAAAGACTACATACTGAAGGTATTAAACAACGAAGGCGAAACTCAAAAAAAACCCGGTGCCTGTCCACGTTCCTGCTCAGGACGCGTGAGGCCACGCGTGGTGCGGCCTCTGCAGGCGTACACAACATCTAGTGCGTATCATCTCTCGAGCCGGCACTGATGACTGACGGTGTCGAAGCTATGGCCGTCGAACTGTCGTCGGACACCGCTGCAGAGGCCGCGGTGGCTGCGAAGCAGGCGAAGAAGGCGAAGAAGGAGAAGAAGGAGAAGAAGGAAGCCAAAGAGGAGAAGAAGGAGAAGAAGGAGGAGAAGAAGAGGAAGCGCGACGCGGCCGATGAGGCGGTCGACAAGGCCGGCAAGGCGCCGCCGCCGGAGTCTGCAGTGGCAGCGCCGCCTGCGCCTGCAGCGGAGGCGCCGCTGCTGAAGCAGCAGGTCGCTGTGGCAGACAGCAAGGAGCAGCTTGCCTCCGCGGCCGAGGCTTCGCCGGCCGCCCCGGGGGCTCCTCCCGCGGCCAGCTCTCTGGCCAAGTCCGCCGGCGCCGCCGCTGCCGCCATGAAGGAGGGCGGAGCGGAGGCGGTCGAGGCCAAGGCAGCAAAGGCGGTGGACGCGCCCAAGGCTGCGGAGGCGGCCACGGCAGAGGCGCCGGCGGCGGCGCAGAGCCCGCCCGCCGAGGCACGCGCTTCGCAAGGAGCGGGCGCCACAGCACAAGCAGACGCAGGCCAGGCACTGCCGGTCGCAGAGGCGGCCCGGCCGGAGCCCGCAGGCGCAGAGGCGGAGGCGCCGCGCCTCAGCGCGTCCGCCAAGAAGCGCATGCGCAAGCGCAAGAGCGATGCCGCGGTCGCCGCCGCTTCCGCCGCCGCCTCGGTCGCCACCAACACCGCCGCGCCCACCGCCGCCGCCGCCGCCGCGCCAGCCGCTTCGCCGGCTGCCGCCGCGCCGGCGCAAAAGGAGAAGGCGCCAAAGGAGAAGCAGCAGAAGCAGCAGAAGCAGCAGAAGCAGCAGGTGCAGCAGCGGAAGCGCGCGCCGCCGCAGCCGGGCGCGCGGCAGCCGCTGCGCCCGCCACACAAGTCTCCGACTGCCGCGCGCACGCAGCTGCGGCCGGCGAGCTGGAGCCCGGCCGACCGTCGGCTCTAGGAAGTGTCTCGGAAGTGTCTAGGAAGTGTCTAGGCGAGCTGGAGCCCGGCCGACGTCGGCGCCTTTGTCGCCAAGGTTCCGAGACTACCCGAGATTACCCGAGACTACCTACCCGAGATTACCCGAGATTGGCCGACATCGGCGGCGCCTTTGTCGCCAAGGCGCCCTGCGTATTGAACAAACCCGCACACACTCTGCGAGACGCGTCCCCCCCCCACAAGTCGCGAGACGCGTCCCCCCCCCCACAAGTGGCAACCCCGGGCCCCAGATCACGCCGCCGCCGTCACGCTTCGCCCCCCCCCACCCCTCGTTAA